GGTCCCTCCCAACCCAAACCACTCCATGAATCTGTGAAAATCGAAACCGTATCCTACACTAAGGATGGTATTTACAAGGAAAAGTTTTCTGTGTACTCACCATCCTTGTACTGATTAGCATTTAAGGAATTTGGTAAGTCTTTCACATTCTTTACTAAATTCTGCTGTCACAGGTGAGTGGAAAGAGGCACGTTCTCTTAAACTCCACTCCTCTCTGAGGCTTTGTGTGTAGAGCAGTAAATACCACCCTTGAACAATACGCAGACATTCTTTTAACTCTTCAGCTTTAACACAAGAGAGTCTCCAAACAAACTCCAAATTTGCCTCTAAATAAGCAGGAGTCTGATGGACATATTATTCAGAGGGGTACTGTCAAGCAGCACTGAAGTCTGGAAAAGGCAGCAGTTGTCCAGCAGAACACTGCACTAGTGGCAGGTAGCTTCAGCCACACCACGGGAACTCGTTCCACTGTTCCTGACGCTAACGAAGCCTGCACTGCCCTACTGCAGTCACACTTCACAAATTACCTTCACCTCCCACCCCCTACAGCAGCAGCACTTGTAATTCCACATAAGCAACGGCAACGAGAACAACAGCTCCTCTTCAAAAGCACTATTGAATTCTCAGCATTTTTTTCATGCTGTGGACTCCATAATTCAAGTCCAACAGCTCAAAAAACCCACAGACATACCTGGTCCTTCTCAAGGGTTAGGATCTGATATCCTGTCGTTCTACTGCAAATAATTTTCCCACTGCTATCAAAAGAGGCTAGACGTAACCTAGGGACAGAACAACAGTGTAATTAGTCTCCCATAACTTAGTTTTTCCACAAAGAGTTTCTCCCAAGGAGACAGGATAACATTTTCCAATGTGACTGACCTGGTGGCCACAAAATTTAAGGTGAAGGTAAGGCATTTTCACATACACCACAAGGCCCGCCTTCTGCTTTACCTGAAGGCAATGCTCCTCCGAGGCTGCAGACTGACCGAGCTACTGCACGGCTGATTGAGCGTATTCCGCTTGAAAATGATGTAGCGATTGGTGTAGGTAACAAGGAGGTCAAAGCCGAAGTTGAAGCCAGTCCACCGCCAGCAGTACTGAAGAACATAAGCCAAAAAGCCAAACCGACCACCCTGAGTAGCTGCTGCAACACAAACCACAAGCGCCGCTTCTCCAGCAAATCAAATCTGGGAGCGGCGTTCGCAGCCAGAGACGCACGGTGGGTTCAAGGATCCCTGCCAACCCCTACTGGAAATGTAAGGCAGCTCGGCAGGCAACCAGCCACTTCAGCAGCCAGCCCTTGCAGAGAGCTGACTGCACGAGACAAGCTTCATCTGCTGCCCCTACACAGGCTAAACCACACGTCGCACAAGCGGATCTAAAGTACGTCTGCATTCTGGTAACTCTGACTGGCACTTAGCTACAGGTCCCACAGGTCCCACGCACGCTTAAAGCACTCCTTGGAGTGCAACAGCCCTGTGGGAAGCGACTTCAGCCGGGAATCCTGTTCCCGGATTTTTTCACAAGACTTGTTACCTAAAGACTAATATACATACGTGGAACACACTTTTCCGGTTAAAAAGACATCAGTGATCAGAGCTGTATTTCAACTGCCTGTATTCTACAAGTCTCAGTTGGTAAGTCATGCCTACATTCCCTCCTTTTCACACACAAAAGGTTTTTCCAAACATGGGCTTGCTTGCAGCACAAGAGGACAATTAACACACTAATTCCTTATTCATCACGAAGACTGCAAGTGTTTTCATCCTTCTAGGGAGAACAAAATAACTTCTTTAACGTCCCATCCCCATTACATCTTTTTGAGGCAGTTTGAGAATTAAGACCTACGTGTTTTGAAAATATCCAACATGTCCAAGACATGTCAGCTATGCACGGACGCAGCCACGTGCCCTACTTACATCACCATCCTTTGCAAGTTTGCGACCACACCTCATGCTGTTTCCTTCCAGTTCCTCTTTATTTATTTCTTGAGGCCTACAAAAAAGAAGCACGTCTTTAAGGACACGTCAACGGCTTTGTACGGTGCTTGAACATGGGAAGGATGAACTGGTCTGACCGCACACCTGACCCTTCTCCGAGCAGAGGTTAGACTAGATGAACTCTCAGGATCCCTTCCAACCCGAATTATCCCATGAACATCCAACCACTCTACAAAACTGCAACATAAACCAGCTTGTGACACCTCGGGCAGGGCTTTTATGAAAGCACCTTCCCCGCTAAGAAAGTAACAGCTGCTGCAACAAAACACATTCTCCAACCCCCCTAAAAAACCCCAGCCCTTTCCAAAGGCAGTTGTCCTGCCTCACCAGGCACAGAGGTAAACACGTGCTGCTGCTAAGAACAGCAGCAGGGCCCTGCAGAGCAGCAGTGCTGCGAAGAAGCACCCACAGAGACATCGCCAAACGTTTCTCAAGAGGCTGGTTATGCAACTTGTCTAAAAAAAGTTTACCCACAGCGATCACGAAGAGCCACAAGCCTTTAGCTTCTGTCATCCTACACCAACGTGAACTTGTTTCACCCAACAGTTTCCACCGGCGCTTCAACACGTAGAAAAACCTTGCTGAGCCAGCGTAAGTAAAATCAGTCCCACTTTTCCAGAGGTATGTTACTCACTTTAGACACGATTACATCATTAACCAAATAAGCAACCATTGCCAGAATGTCTTCAAGTTACACTGAGGACAAATGCCTAAAGTGAGGATTATAAATCACGATGAAAGGCAACCCCCCACGCAAGTCAGATTATCAACCTGCAGTATCAAACAATGTGCTCCAAGCTCTGCAGGCCAGCAGAAGTGCAGCATCCGTTCTCTTCCCCCTGTACACACTCCACGAGAACGTGGGGCTGTAGCTTTTACGAACAAATTCCGTCTGTGGTCTTTTCCCCTCGTTTCTGTAAAAACTAACCCTGGAAGATGAAGTATTTTATGAGCAAGTTAAGCAAATCAGCTCATCATGCTAAGCAAATTTCACCCCGGAACCTGCTGGGTGCTTTTTCTACATCTTCTAGCTGAACGGGTTAGGTAGCTGACCTAAATTCAGTAATGGTGATAAAAGATTTATTTCTGTTTAATTAATGACAAATTTCACAACCATCAGTACATCGTGTTCAGACAGGGGAATCCCCCTCTTAATTCCTCGAGCAGCCTCAGAAGATGCAAAGCTTCCAGCTTTAACCACTTAGCCTGGCCTACCACACGCCTAGTGAACAGGCAAGGTACCCTATCTGGTTCTTAAGGCCTGCCAGCGAGACTGTTAGGCTAGAAATGATTCCCGCCACGGACTTGAAAGATCTGTCTCGCATCTGCCACAGAACAAATGTTTAATTAAGAAAAAAGTGACCCACTTCAGCAGTGTTAAACCTTGAGCAGCTGCAGTTCAAAGTCACAAACTCCAGGATGACAGTAAAGCATTCTCAGATCCTGAAGAGCGAATAAAATGTTTAGTCCTTTTAAATGCAAACTACATAAAGTAGAAGAGAAACATTTTCTTCTCCTTTCCGAAGTTCCCAAAAGAGCAAACCACATCACACATTTCAAAGCAATGTAATTGCCATGGTGGCAGTCTGAGCGAAAGCAGGTGCAATTACGCGCTGCACCAGGTGGGATATGGAAATAGAGCCTTACTTCAGCTCACTGGGACTCAGCCTTCCATGTCCTCCAGCTTACTGAGTTTGCATCTTGGAGATAAGGGAAGAACATGTGTTAGGATACCGATACAGGGGGTAAGTGTGAGAGGAATGGCAGAGATCTGCATAAAAGGATGGTCTTCTAAAGCCTTTCCTATTTTCCTTCAGCTACAGGTTGGTCGAAAGTCCAAAATACTTGCTTTAATACCTAGGAACAGTTTCATGTCTTCCCTTCTACAACACGAGTTACCAGCCGCAGGCATCTCACTTCAGCTTGCCAGTAGAAGACAGAGAAGTGATCTCAGGACTCCAAATAACATTTGTCTTCTCCAAGACTGCGTGCTACGGATCAGCAACATCACAGCTCAGCTCCATGTAACTACGGGGAAGAACTCCAGGGATGTGTGCGTGCAGCCCACCATCCCCCTGCCCCCCAACTCCAGAGAACACCACGCTGAAAGATAATCAGCCCACGATTGACTATTAAACACCAGTAACCTGGGTGCCACCTTGAACCAGTAAGTTTGTAAACGCTAAGTCAGAAGCCAAGACATATTGAGAAGAGACACTACATCTCCCCCCCTTCTGCCTGTTGCCGTTAATGAAAGACCTTGGCAACGAAGGCCAGAATAAGAGTTGGGCAAAGCTTCTACTGCTAAGGGAAACTTTCTCTGCCAGACATCTCCAGTTTTAGCTGGCTTAAAAAAACCCCAAAACTAACAAAAATCCCATACTGCAAAAGAGAAAACTAGACAAGCAAGAGAAACACGGAAAAACGCTGCACATTCCAAGAGTCACCGAAATCAGCAGCACTTCAGCCAAACAGGAAAGTTGCTCATTTTAAAGCTGACATGATCCCCATCATCTTCACTTCTGTTGTGTCTGAGCGCTTGCTTTTTCACAAGCCCATGTCTAACAATTAAAATACTCCCGCTGCGTTACAATGAGCTACCAAAAGACAGCAGAACTAAGCAAACGCGTGGTCTTATCTCCTGTCAGAATTTTGAAGCCTACGTTAATACTCCCTTCTGTAATATCGGTGGTTCCCGTACGAGCTAGAGGGGAACGCACAACGTACGATCATCTGCCGTGAGATACATCAACGGCAGCGTCACAAGACAAGTCTTCCCAAGAAAACAACGGCATCAGAAACAAGCTGTGGCCACCCAACATTAATCTTCAGGAGCTGAAAGGGTGAGATTCACAATGACATCCTTTACCTCCACCACTTTCTGAAGTGCTGCTATTGACAAAGAGAACCATTCTGTAAAAATCTTGACTACTGTTAGGTCAAAAGTCAGAGTTTTGGGGATTTTTCTTTTTTTTTTTAACACTATTACATGAAAACATCAAAAGGAAGTAATTAAGGAAGTATTTCTTATATAATACACAATTAAGCCATGGAATCCACTGCCACAGGGTGTTGGGGCTAAAGCATGTGGTGTTCCAAACCAGAACTGTACGTAGTTCAGAACAGGCCTATCGGTGGTTGGTCGTTCAGTAACGATCCAGCCAAAACCTTCACCTGGAAAATCTGTACCTACCCACTGCTGGAGAAGTACAGCAAGAGAACACTCACTCTCCACTGGAAAGGAACTCTACTGCTCAGTGCTGCCAGAGACTGCGCGGCCTTTGGTTCAGATCAGGGCAGCGGTGCTTACGCCGTCCATGAAGATGAACATGCTCATCTTCAGGGCAGCAAACGCTGGGCTAACAGAACCGATGTCAGAAAATAAAGAAGTTGGCTGGCTGCTTTTTGAAAGTTTTGCAACTTCCTGACCTGACGTTTCTTCTCCACAAAGCACACTAAGGGCTGGGAGAGAAGACCCAGGCAGGCGCAACTCCCCCAGTTGCATTTTGCCTCAGTTTCAGTACTTAGAAAAAGGGGTGACGGGACCCGGCTCAACGCAACACGGCCAAAAGCAAGAAGGAAGGGGGAGGGTTTGTGATCACGCGCAGACACGCCACACATTAAATCAGCACGCCCCGCTGCCCGAGCCACCGCCGCTGACAACCTTGTTAGGCTGGGGCTCAAGAAACTGCGTTACACAAGCAGGCGCCAGTCGGGGTGTTACACGGAGCACGGCTACGTGCAGATGGCCAAAAGGGCACAGGAACCACACCTGCACGCTGGCAGCTGTCACGGAATCTCCTCACTGGCACGGAAATGCCACCACACGTGGCCTAGGAAGGAGAAGAGGTAGGATATAAAACAGGATTACGGAGAGAACAGGGTCTTAGCAGTGGAGAGGGATGCACTGCCTGAGGAAAGCTGGAGGTGCTGGCAGCAGAGCGAGCTATCAAACACAAACCCTGGCTGGGGACAGGCTGTGGAATTCGAAGGGAATGAGGCGAACAGGTCACAGGATGCTAAGCCGTGCTGGGCTGTCCCTCGCTGCCTGGGGGTCTGGGATGGGAGAGGCAGGAACAAACATTAGCGTGCAGTTATCCCTGCATAAAGAAAGAAATGACAAATTGCCTTCTACACCAACCCAGTTAGTCACAGCACACCACCACCTCTTGCCCAGGGAGGAAGGAAGCAGGACCCAACAGGCTTCTCCACCTGCAGTACTTTTCCTTAAGCCATCCTTAAAAGCGAAGGCTAGCAGTTATCTTTCACAGCCTCACTGCACATTTGAAGGCAAAGTAAGCGGTGAGAAGCATTAACCAACCAAGGCAAACATAGAACATCCCTCCCCAGCATTTCTCTCTGGTGGTGTTATACTTCTGGAGTCCTACCGTTTAACGGCAGGGCATCGGTCAGCCCAAGGGCAGGGACTGCTCCGGAGTACCACAGAGCTTAAAACCACTGTATGCATTCCCCCCACCGCTCTGAATGTCCACTCCAAAAGTTAATCACGTCAGAATTCATGTAAGAGGAAGGTTTCTAATTTAAGAAAGAAATAGAGGAAAGCCTGTAATATACCTACCCAATATCATTGTCTTGTTCTGCTCTGAGCATGGCAAACCACTGCTGTTTGTAAACAGAGGACAGCCATTCTAAAATTAAAAAAAAATAAATGAGCTTGGTGGTGTCTTTGGAGCTGGGAATGGGGATGGTCATAAACATTTGAAATATAGAAATAAAATTACATTGAAATAATAAGGTTACACTCATTAACTGGCTGGCCTACACCACCCCACCACCTATAACGCACTGGGGGTGCCCATCTCCAGGCCTCGCCCACAGACGAGCGCTACAGATACGGATCAGCGACACTACGCAACCCAGGACTACATGCACCTTATCAAGCGCTGGCGACTGCCACACGGGATGCAGCTCAACACATTTTCTCCTCGAGCAGAGTTCTGTTGAGCCAAGGAGCTTGTTAACAAGCTCTTGGGAGAAGATGCTGTTTTCTGAATCCCCAGTGCAATTCTACACAAGTTAAACAAGAAGAAAAGAGAAGCCAAGGATAAAGGAAGCAGTGCCTTATCACAAATACAGTAAAACCAAACAGAAATTGTCCTCTACTGGGAATAAACATAAATCATGTCTTCCTCCAAGAACACCACAGATTTTATCAGCTGTATTAATTTAACAGTCGCAACCAAGGGAGAAAACAGAACAAAAAGGAATAGCTTGTAAGTCCGTTACACAAAAGGGATCACAGGCTCCCAAAAGCACACAACGTAAGTTCTTCCCAGTCCAGATAACAAACAGGGGCAAGTATGCAAGGTCACGTACAAGAACAAACCCTGTGGAGGAATGGGGTGAGATGATGGGAACAGCGAGAACCACTGCTGCCACAAAAACACAGCAGGTAGCCGATGAACGTGATAGGAGGGAGAAGCAGTGAGATCACAGCGCCAAGACTGCCTTAGAAGCCCCAGCTGCAAAAATTAAAACCAGGCCTTGCCCTAACAACTTTAGAGTTAAGATTCAGACTGTGATGGGACCAGAATGGGAATTAACCAAAGTACAGCAGGAAGTATAAAAATGAAGTAAGGAAAACTGCACAGCTAAGGAACAGAGAATGGATGTGCTAGAAGGAGAAAGAAAATTGCAAAAAAATAATCAGGAGATAGGGCACCTTCTCTACTTTTTACATGTACATACCTATGTCATATCTCATGTTTCAACTGCAGCTCATCTGGTAATTTGTAAACATTAAGAGGGAAAATACTGCTGTAGAAGTGTTCAGGAGTTACCAAATAAACCAGAACAATGAACACTTTGCTTACAGACAGACATTATTTCTGTCTCTTACATCTTTGCTATGTAACCTGGAACAGACTCTCTCTTGGGAACTCCTAATGCAGTATTTCCGTTTTCTCCTGCAGGTCCTACACTTATACAGGATGTAAAAAAAAACCCATCACGACACCATTTCTTTCATCTATTCAACATGATTTCTTTCTTTACCTCCTTGAGAACAATTTCATCCAGAATAATCTAAAAAGGCTTACGCTAGAATACGCACTACCACATTTGTACCCTCTCAGGTACGATGCAATCACCTCAAATCCTGGATGCTGGCAGCCAATAACCTCCTTGGAAGTGCACCACTAGTATTTCTCTACACCTCGTTTTAAACGATGAGCAAAAGTTTCTGGCCTTAACACAGGAACTTAATCTTGTAGCTTTTGGCTACAAACCAGAATCAACAGATTACCAGGGCCATCAAGGATTAAACTCTTGCAGCACTTCATTACACACACAGAGGTCCCTACATCATGCTGCTCCTCCCTCCCCACTCTCCCAGTTCTCTTGGAATTCAAACTCTTTTATTTTTTAATTAATAATCAGTGGTAGAAAGCAAACATGCGATACTCTTCCTGCACTAACGACACTCCCTGTCACCACACTGCCTTTCCCTGCACGACTACAGAGGTGCCAAGCCTACTTCGGTGTTTATGGCAGTTTACAGACCGTTTAACTACGAAAGAGTAAACGTTTTGCTCTCTGATCCCTTGGGGACTGGGAAAAAGTTACACATTCTTTTTCAAGAAGCACAAAAAACAGCCTCAAAATGACAATTAATCCTGCAACAGCTTGAGAAACATTCTTCCTCTGATGTACACAGACAGAAGGCATCTGCACTGCATACAGACACAAAACCTATCAGCTGCAGGACACGAAGCAAAGGCTGCCCACCACAGTTCAGGGAAGTGATAACTACAGCAACGTTAAGAGAAGGAAATCAAGTGCGGTACTGGCAAATTTCTGGCTTGCAACATCTCATTCACATGCTGACAAAGCCAATTCACATGGAAATAACCCACAGTTCTCCTGTGCCATCGTTAAATTAAGGATCTAAAGGGTCATTCACCCAAAGTTATCACGTATTTTATTACAGAATGAAGATGGCTTTGCACTTTGATTATAATCTGCAGCAACATCAATCTCAAAACAGATTATACTTACTTTACACATCACTTAAGCATATAAACTATCACATATCAAAGATCAGATCCGTTCTTCCGGGATTTGTATGCACAACATAAAATTTTATCACTTGCTCAAGGTCAGAACCTGCCCCATCTACTGGACACAACCGAAGCCGCTCAGCCACGCTACACCACAGCGGTCTGTACTGCTCTGCCTCCACCTGCTGTTGGAAGAACTCTGACGCCGACCTTGGGCACAGGATAACCAAGCTCCTTCGGATTTCACCTGGTCAGACTAGTGCAGAAGACAGTCTCTTCTCCATCTATTAAGGTATTAAACCAGAACCGGGGGAAGGGAAAGCCAGTACATTTAAGCAGCGGTACTTGTCCACTTCAACTCAAGAGACCAAAAGGTTTCTAGTGAGGAAAGGACCCTGGCCCCTCCCCACAGGTCTCCCCATCAGAGTCATAACTCAGCTTCCGACAGCTGCAATCTTCAAACATCCCGAAGAGGGGCTCAGGGTTATTCAGACACTCGGCTACGAAGAGCAACTGAACTGTTATTTCCGGCAGAGGCAGGATGCAGCAGCACAAGAACGACAAACCGAGTGAAGCGAGGCCGGCTACGTCACCTTCATGGCAAGGAAGGTGTTTGAAAGCATCTAAGAGCTTGATCAGGCTAGCAGGCTTCAAAAGAGGTACCCCAGCAAGTCTGGTTCGGGATTATACCATCAGCGTGTTGACAGCTATGGCAGTGTGAAGGAAAAAGCCAGCATGAGATGAAAAAGAACCCCCTTCATTTTACAGGGGGATAGCAGCGTAACTCAAAGACACGTTGAATATTTGCATATGGCACGATTCCAAAGCAATCCTGAAGGCTACAAGTACAGACAGATGACAAGAACAGTTGTCAGAAAGTTGCAAATTAGAGGATAATCAGCTCAATAAAAGCAGTCTTAATTGACATTTGGCAATTACATCTAAAAATAGACACCACAGACACACAGATGAACAGCTAACAGATCTGTGGACAGATACATAAAAAAAATAATCAAAGCCACGCATGTGAGAGCTAGGGAAAAAAGCTGTCAGCATTCAGATGCAAAAATCAGTGCTAACATTCAACTATGATAATGGAACACTGAACAGAGTGAAATATGGAGCAGGGATACCAGGAGCCAAATTCAAAAGCGGAGCATGAGAAGTCCAAAGACCGTTACAAGGAGCACAAGTAACTCTGAGGAGGGGAAAAATGAAAACAAATTAAAAGGAAAAACAAGGAGAGGCAGGTGTTTCACATGACAAAGTTATGAATGGTAGTGGAAAAACATTTTCAAGTGAGAGCCCAACTTGCTAACTCATTTCCAGTCTTGCTCCTCCACCAGCAGCCCGGCTTACACAGCGTGCAGGCAAAGAACAAACCTATCTGTGAACTCCAACTTCAGCAGCAAGATGAGAATGGGGCTTTTTGGTCTTCAGTGATAACGTGACGTTAGTAGCAGTAATCTATAATGTGATTATAGATTAATTATTGAATGGCATTTCACCCTATGGGCTTCAAAAAGCATCAGAACCTAGAATGAGGATGTGTTTTATACAAGAAAAATGCAAATAAAAGGACAAAGAGCAGAATAATATCCTAAATGCCAGTTAGTAACACCTGTCCGTGAAGACAGGAGAGAGTTCACAGCATCTTGTGCTTTTGGTTTTCATTTTCAGGTATTCCAAATCCTACCAAAAACTACCCCGCTCTTTTTAGAAAGATAATGGCTAGAAAACAGCTGAGTCACAGCAAGCTTTGCCCTCTTCAAAGCAAAAGGGGTTTTGCATGTCTGGGCCTCTGGAGTCCCCTGAACACCAAAAACATACTATGCATTGATCACAGTATTTTGTGATTAATATGCTTCACACACCTACGTGTGTACCTATTACGACTTTTATGGATGTAAATTTAATATTCAACTTCTGCTGAGACTTCAGCCACAATTCAGATGCTGGAGATAAACACAAGAGCAGTAAGACCAGACCTTCCCCGTTACTCTCATGCAGGGCAGGCTAGCAAAGGCACACAAAACGTGAGCAGCTGAGTACTCGCTCACCTGAGGGTATTAGGGAATCTCTCTCGACAATTTTGGCTGATGCCAAGTCACTGATGATGTACTGTAATCTCAGGTGCGTGAACACCGACAGGAACGCACTCCCCTGTTCTGATTCCAGGAATGCAATGTCATTCTCAAGATCTGTAAGAGAGAACACCTGTCTTACAATTTGTTTTCCTAAGTATCTTCCAGACCCAATATTTGAGACTGAGTCTTCACTTACTGATCAGAAAGAGTGATTACAGACAGGCAAATCGTCTTTTGCAGCTAAAATTAAGAAATAACTTACATTCCAACCCTTCCAAGAGAAGTATTAAACCAAGCTTTTACTCTTTTGAAATACACTCGTGAATTCCAGTGAGAAGGCAACAAAAGCTTACGCTAAATGGACAACAGCAAAAGCAGCAAAGCCAAAATATTGACCATGTCTGCTCACGTGAAAACATGTGGGCAAAACACTGAAGAGCTATCAGCGTTGAGAATCTGACGTCACAGACTGTTGGCAGCGACAAGCCTTCCCAGAGAGAACAGGACAAAGCTTGGAAGTTGGAGGAAGACTATCGTATTTTACTTGTAGCCCACGTCTTTCCCAATCCAAAGCCATCCCAATTAATCCTACCTTTCCTACGCTTGGCAAACCAGGCATCAGCTTCGGTTAAGAGTTGTTTCAAAGGCCCGTTCCATGAAGGCACTAGCTGAAGGAACATCCACTAGGCAGAAAAACCCAAGCTCTAGTGAGTTAATCGAAGAAGTTTTCAAACAAGTCATTACATGCATTATCAATGTTTTCATAATGCATTCATTCCCACAAAGATTCTGATACTCTATTAAATACTTTCAGTAAGTACCAAAAAGGCTCAAATTCTCATCGCGTTACAAATCAATTACATGCGCTTCAACTTCATACGCCCTGGGCAGCCCCTTTGCCAATTACCTTTTTGAGAGCAGTATACACATCCATTTCCACTTGCATTACAAAGAGGTTAGAGGAGCTGATCAGCTGTTTCATGAGGTTTATGCTGGAAAAAAATAATCACAAGAGTTCCGTGAGACAGTATAGATAACCCCAAGAAAGCAAGCTGAGTAACAAGCAACATCAATAGCCTAGGAAGTTATTTACAGTGAGCTACATGCTTTGGAAGAAATTGGACTTCTCCACTCAAGGTTAAGTGAGGCCTGTACCTGAGTTCTTTGAAGAGTTCAACACTCTGGTGAGTCATCAGGTTATTCAAGAGCCATTCAAGGCACCTGGATTAAAAGCAAAGAATTAGTACCTTCATTTTTTTTTATATACCTGTCAACATTCCTGCAACAGTTGGCTCAGGCTTACAAAGCCTGATTATGTTCTGCATGATTATGAAATACTGCTTTAACCTGAGACACTAATGCATAAAAATATGAAAAAGTTATGAAAAGGAGTTATCTCAAAAACAGAAGTTTAGCATAAAATTTTCCAAAATGTTCTGAAACTCTTAAAGTTGAATTTAGTTTCTCTCAGGGTACAGTGACAGCTGAATTCAAAGTACTAGTAAAGCCTCAAGCAGCTCTGAGAACACACTAATTCACAGCAGAAGGAAGCAGCTAGCACTAACCTCAGCATTCTGCTTCCAAATGTGTAAGTAACCCTCCTAATGATAACAGTTAGGCCTAAGTTCTGGATACTAAAGCAGCTTTGCAAGAAAACAGTGATCACAAGTATTATTTCACTGTCACACTAAAGGCCAAACATTCTTTATTAATATACTTTAGTCATACACTCAGTCACAGGACAGGCCAACCGACCCAAACTCAAAGACTAAATAGGCCAGGCAGAGCCCAAGTCAGACAGCTTCAAAAACCCAAAAGATTAACTTAGGCATTATTTGGCAGTTTGTAAATTCACAGTTTTAATTAGCAATGTACAAAGCAGCTTGAAGAAAGTAATCCTTACTTCTTCTTCACAGAGTCTAACCCGTACGTCCCCGCTGAATTGTAATAACCACACACAGTTTTTGCATTAATGGTTTCCTTCATCGTTTCACCGCACTGCTGGATTAAGCCATCCTGTGGGAAGGAAAAAACCCACAAATATTCAGAGCTTTTGTTTCCCAACAGGAAGCGTCAAAGATCACGCGTTTTGTACACGTTTCCAGGCCTGACGAGTTACCGAAGTCACACGTGCTACAGTGACCTGTGCTCTGTGAGCCAGAAAATTTAAAGCAACATTCCCCAGAAAAACACATTTTTCTTAGGAATGCATCATGTGAATGAAATTCCTAATGAATACCTTCAGGGCAGAACAAATGAGCTGTTAAAACACATTTTAATCTACCTCTAGATACGATTCTCAAAGCAGCACTTAATATTACAACTGAATCTTAGTCATAGCACTTTTAAATAAAACCACTGCATTATGTTTAGGTTTTTTCCCCACTTAGTATGATTCATTTCTCTGGGTGAAACTGTACACGCGCGGAGTATATTGTGAACTGTTATCTTTATCTGAAAAGAAAGCATAAAAATAGTGCGTATTCATTACTTACAAGCTGCAGCATGCAGGCTGCTGCCAAAAGTGCAACTACTCGACTGGGTTTTATTAACACATCATCTCTGTATAGTGAGCCAAAAGCCACCTGTAGAGCTGAAGAGAGTATGAGGGTCAAACAAAGACAGGACATTGGGCACGGATAACTAAAAGAATCCTTAAATGTAACCAAACCACTTGAGCGCATCCTCTACAACCTTAGTTGCTCGGGATGAAAAGGTAGTATTTACCAGCCCAAGCACAGGCAAACAGAAATCACAAAACATGGCGTTAACCTACAACATACAGTCCTTCTCATTAGTGACACAAAGCATTCCTCCTACACCAGCCATCAGGTCACACCACAGAGCAGAGAGTAATCAAACTAGGCAAGACGACGCTCAACCTCACGATCTTTCTCTGCAATCGATCACCAGCCTATTGGTGAGATATGATTATGGTGTTACAAGTTTCTCTGTAATTGTTCTGGAAAATGCTAGTTCTTCACTCCGTGGTGCTTGGAACCACAGCAAAACATTCCGCTAACTCGCAGTGGCCCCCTGCAAGCTTCCCCAGACCAGACAGACGACGATGGGATTCTCACTCGAACACTTGGGCCTCATGGGAGTGACACAGTGACCTCAGGAGCCCCGACGCCGGAAGAGCAGCACAAGCCTTTCCAGCTCTGCTCCCCAGCTCAAAGGTACAAGAATGAATTCAATTCTACTCGTGACCTGAGTTAAGTTCAAAACTGAACGGGCACAGAAGTCATTCTCTCACGTTTCTTATTTACTAGTTTGAAAATTATTCTTTAAAAAAATCATATATATTTTCAGTTATTTTTCGTCAGGTTCAAGTTAACCTCTACCTTCAGAGTTCATGTTGAGATCAAAGGTTCCTGCTTACCTTCTATATCAATATTTTGGTCAGGTATCTCCAACTCTATGATGTTCATGCTAGATTCCTTCCAAGATCCACTAAACATACTGGAAAAGTAGCCAGACTATATGAAGGAAGAGGAGAGAAAAAGAACTCCAGTAAGAGACTTAATTCAAATTTACACTGCGAAAAAGCAGCACATGGAATGAAAAAAGTTAGTATTTACCTTTATGCAGAACAAAATTAAGGGAACTTTTCACAAACTAAAACATTCTGACATACTTGAGAAAGGGCTAATTGCAGTTGCTCTATTTCTGAAAGTGAAAAACGCCTGTAGCAAATTTGGGCTACAAGTCCAGAGTAAAGAGCTTTAAAGGGCCAGAAAAGCCACATAAGCTCTTTTCCTACAAATCACACCACCAATGGGGATATAATTAGTCCAAGAATTAAGTACTTAATGCTACCAGCGGCCAACAAATCCTGCAGGCACTAGGGAATGCCAGTTTGGGTACTAGGGGCGGGGGGGAGAGCATGCAAGACATACAAATTAATGTACACGGTTGTAGTCTCATACCAAGGACACGTACACATACACCATTTATGTAAATATACCTTTTATTATAAAGTGTAAGGTATAAAACTAGAATTTGATAGGTTTCCATCCAAATGAAGTGACAAATACTGCTCTACTAGGATTCATGATTTTCCTTCTCAGCAGCAGATGTGCCCATTATGAGATGCTATCACCCACTGAAGTTTACCTGAGAGATCAAAAAAATAAAGTCTATTTGTACAGTCCCATATTCCCTGACCTCTTAACTCAGCATTTCAACTCAGGGCCACAAATAACATCAAATCCAAGTCTGAATTATTTGATTATGTAAATATTTCTCTGCCTTTGGCATATCCCCTAGCTATGCTGACGTACAACATACTACTCTCAAAACCAGGACCTTATTCATCTTACCAATCCTCAGGAGGCTACCTTCGCTTTGCCATGTAGATAACTCCTCAGTTTCACCAGAATTTGCCACTTTAGTAAACAGCATGAGGAAAAGGAACCCCTTTGTTTCTCAGATCTCCCACTCACAGGCAGAGCAGCACCTTCCTGTCATTTATCAAGCTAAACGAGGTCACTTGGGTGACGCGGGAATCAGACAAATTCGGACTGAGACAGTCTGCTCAACGAGGCAGAGGAGTCATCACTTCATTGAGAGGTTTTTAACATCCAGTAGTATTTTATCTACAGTAACATAAACCCAAGGATGGAGCATGAATTGAAACGGGAACCTGACCTGGGAGACAACCACAAAATTCCATCTCACACCTCCTGTACTACAAGGCCTCTACAGAACAGAATTGCAGTTGTCGAAGTCTGTTAAAAGCACCCGTGGAAGCGATTCAATGTTCCATTTCAGTCACCAACCCACACTAAGTTTTAAGGACAAGCTTCCCAAACTAGAGACATAGCAACAACAGAATCACAATGACCAATCATCGCCACCAACAGCCCAAGGACGAACCGGCAATGCGCCCACCCCTGTTTATGGGGCACAACCCGAGTCGGACTGAACAACACACTCATATCCTCCCGTTGTTAGAGTCAGAAGTGACAGTTAAAGCTGTATCTGCCCGCAGTGCTCTCGGGAACCACACCAGATGTGGCTGCCACCAGTCAAGCCTGGGCTACACACGAATGCCTTCCTGCCCTCGGTTTATGCTCTCAAAAGGCTTCTTCCCCCAAGACAGCAAGGAAAACAGCCTTCCAGTACCTGAAGGGGGTCTACAAGGAAGCTGGGGGGGACTTTTCACAAGGGCCTGTAGGGTCAGGACAAGGGGTAACGGGTCTAAACTGTAAGTGGGGAGGTTTAGATTAGATATCAGGAAGAAGTTCTTCCCGGAGAGGATGGGGAGGCACTGGGACAGGTTGCCCAGAGAAGCTGTGGATGCCCCATCCCTGGAAGTGTCCAAGGCCAGGCTGGATGAGGCTTGGAGCAACCTGGGCTATGGAATGTGGCCCTGCCCGTGGCAGGAGGGTTGGAACTAGATGATCTTTAAGGTCCCTTCCCACGCAAACCATTCCATGATTCTATGAAATTTCCACCGCCATGGCCAACACCAGGAATTGCTGTACCTGCGCCACAATCACAGCCTTAACGCAACACCAAAAAAAAAAAAATACGCCAAGAATTTGCTTCTACCACCGCTTCTTACACCAGCGAACCTGCCTTCAACCTGCTGAGCGTCGGAGAGCGACACCTTCGCCCTGCGACACACACCACCGCCCGGCGTTTGACTGCCGCTAACCAAGCGGCACGCACGCTTTCCGGTAGAGCACCTGGCATGGCTTTCTCTCCTCGCTTCAGATCCATTGTTTCCGGGGTTAGACGCCCGCTTCAAAGTTACCAGCACAACTCAATCAGACATTTCAAGTCAAAGCCTTGGTTTCTCCTGACTGCCATCACAGGGAAAGTAATAGAGAACAGACAGTAAAGACAACAGTGCCTCTTCGCTCCCAAAACACGAAAGGAACACCTTCATACAAGCCCAAAATAAAATGCTTTTGGAAACAGCTGTTTTTCTTCATAGGTAGGCACTAAGGTTTACTGCTTCTGTGCACACCTTGCGCAGGCAGCAGCAAGAACGTCTCTGCATACCAAATACAGAGACCCAGCACCAGCAACTTCACTGCAGGTTCCTACCCTTGAGCCCCAGCGAACAGTAAAATAAAACTGGGTTAGCACGTGCTTTACAAATCCACCCTGGATGCCCTTTCTTTGCTCCGCAATAATACTAACGTCACCAGAGACTCTCAGCCGTTTGCTCAGCAACCAACACCTTCCCAGGACATCAAAAGACGACTCTCAAGACTGTTTTCACAGAGGATGCGCCGAGGTTAAGAGGAGTAGATTAAAAAAGAGGCAGAAGCGAAGAAACTTTTCAGGCACGAAGCTACAGCTATGCTTCCTAGCGTTACTAGCGAGAGCAGAACAGGAGTTGTTTACTGCATCCACAGAAAGAGTGGCAAGCCAGAAATTGGAGGTGAAAAGGAAAAGAAAAAAGCTCAAGTCACACTTAACATTTATCAGATGTTCTTTCGTTAAAAACACGGTTCTGACTGCGAGTAAGAAAGCAGACACTTACCTGACACAGATATATCTTATGCAAGTTCCACTCCTCTCCCAGAGCACAAATTTTGATATCGCTGTTTTCCCCGTTCAAAAACAGAGTCTGATAAATATACTTTGAAGTGTTTTTCAATTTTTTCCTACACAAAAAAGGCAAACAGAGACATACTCCTTCAGATTTTTCTATCAGAGTACTGAACAGGGGGTTTTGTCCCTATAACAGACTGACCACCTCCCTCGCCCCCAGCTCCCTTCCCCTCTCGTTTCCTGCAGCAGAGACCTTTCCAAAGCAAACAAGAAACCAACCCCTGCCCCAGGCCCAAGCAACCACACGCCAACACCCCTTTCCCTCCATCCCCCCTCTCCTTCCTGCACAAGCGCCTGAAGACCGGCCTTGGCCCTCGAGTGTCCCAACCCCTGCCCCCACCACCCGCCCCC